TACTATCATTTTTATTTCATATGCAACATGTATACTCACTGAGCGTGTGGTTTAGCTCACACCCTTATAACTTCTCATTTTCAGGTAGTATAGAGGAAGATGCAGACCAGTCCACTGTTTAGTCGATTGAGTCTTGTATAACATTAGTGTGATATCATTCATTTTAAGTGTCTGTATGACTAATTACTAAGTTGTGTATTATATTTGTGAGAAATTATTATGACAGGTTAATAGTGTATGATTGTAAATAGACTCAACAAGTATACTTTGAAATGGGTGTGGGATTTTGTACATGTATATAACATGGGAAAAAAAATGATATATGTGTTATATATGGTACAAGTTATAAAACAAGTATTACCATTGTGCTTAATGATTAAGGTGATAGATGGTGTTGTTGCACTGTAGGATTATTAGTATTTTATTAATCCAAATTATATATATGTAAACAAGTATATCAAAAATCTAGTTACGTCTCATCCTTGAGAGATCGGGATGTGGTGTGACACTAAACATATTCAACTTTGCTTTGTGAAATATTTGTCTTTTTGAGGTCAAAAATTCAAGTTTTTTGGGCAACAAAAAATATGGTTGGTTGGTAGAATAGATTTCAATAACTTGAACAAATCGTATCCAAGTCTCTAGTGTGAGTTTGAATTCTCACCAAAGCATAATTTCTGATTTAACTGGTGTATGTGTTTTAAGACCGATCCATACACCCAAAATTTACCCTTGATTCTATTCAAACTTACGAATTTAAGCGGCATAAACATTCCTCTATGCATCGGGGACATACCAAGGGTTTTCCCAGTTAACCAAAAAACATTGTCGTTGACAAATATTGATACGTGGAATTCACCATTTAGAAAAGTCAGTTGCTAACTAGGCTGGACATATTATAATTAAAGATTTTTTGTAGTTTGCATCCTAAAAAATTTCAACATTCCTTTTTTGTACATTCAAAAATTATTTTATTTATATTGCACCCTTAAGTTATCAAGAGTGTTGCAATACGACTCTTCTATTAGTTTTTATTATTTTTTTTTATCAAATGTTAATCCATTGACACTAATAAACAAACTAAAGGAAAGCCAGTAGAAGGGTCATGTTGAAACATTTTTGCTATATTGAGTGTGCAATATGAAAATTTTAATATTTAAGGATATAAAGTGAGAATCTTAAGAATTTTCAGGGTACAAAGTGCAATTCACCATATAATTAATTTACAACACCTTCCTGACCTATATATATATATATATATCAAGAAGACCTTGGGTGAATTGCAAATCACACTGTTAAAGTATTGATGTGGTTCCTATTTGGTCCATAGAGTTTTGATTTGCTTAATTTAGTCCGTAAAGTATTGATTTTGTTTTCATGAGAATCTTCCGTCCATATTTATCAAAAACTCGAAATGGTCAGTCAAATTCAAATGAGCATTTTCGTACAGCTTTCTCATTGCCTTCGCCTAACACTCTTACCATAGTTATGTTATTGACTCTTATCTTTAACTTATATCTTACGAGTTAATGAGTAATTCGTTAACTCATTTATAATAAATTTGGGTTGTGGTAATGCAATTCTTAATTTGGGTAGTGATAATAAATTTATAAAATTCATAAAAGGTCAGTGATAATCAAAATTTATAAATATTTAATTTAGGGCAGTGATAATAATAATTATTTTTTTTATTTTGTTTAATATTTATTACAAATATTTTATATATATCTGTGAATATTGATAATTTTTTATTTTTTTATTAATGATTTATTATTAGGGATGTAAAACATGTTGGGTTAAACAATTATATGTCGGGATAAATGGACGACGGATGAAAAACATGCAAATCTGTACACGACACGTTTAATAAACGAGTGAAAAATTTTGACACGAATACGATTCGTTTAACCTGTTTAGTTTTAAACGAGTTGTGTTGGGTAGAGTTGGGTTAACATGATAAACCACTCGTTAAACCCATTTACCTATTCTTTAAAAAATACTATATAACTTTATGAAACTAACAAATTAATACAAAAAAATGTGATATTTAAAAATGCACACTATATTACAAAGTAAACCAAATTCCACAATATCTATGGGAAGAACATGATAGTCAAAGAATCTGAGGAAACCTATTCATATTCAAGGAATGTTGAGGAGTAAAACTTTATATATATTTTTACTTCTTTTGATAGTGAGACTCTGTTGAAATCTTATAGCTGAAACTCCTAGAAGGCCTCATAGCTGAAACTCCTAGAAGACCATAGTGAAAGATTCTGGTTTTATTCTCTTTTGCTTCTAGTTCTTCTCTTCTATTTACTGTGGGAAAAAAAAAAACTTACATGAAATATTTTTCTTCTTTGCTACTTACAGATATTTTTAAAATAATTATTAATTTGTTATTATATTAATTTTATTTAAACTGATGATAAACGGATTGACATGTCTTAACCGAACACGACTCATTTATTAAACGTATATGACTGATCAATTTTTTTACCATCCGAACCTTTTAAGGTATCATCCAAACGCGTTTAATTCGTGTCAGTTAATCATGTCGTGTCCAATTTTGACCTACCTATTTATTATAAATGATTTGACCTTAGATTTGGGCTCAAATCTGATTAAATTTATTAATAAATTAACTTATAATAATTATTTACTTTTATAAATTAAATATTATGAAATTTAATAAATTATTATAAAATTAATTATCACTGCAAAAAATTAATAAATTTGAGCAGTGCAATAAATTATTAATAAATTTATTGTTAACTTGAATTTGGGCATTTTCAACTGTTCAGCGTTTGGTACGGGCAATGGTTGTCGGTGAAGGCAATTGTAGAGTTAGACAAAAATGTCTTACTAATTTGATTAACTGATTGGTGTTTGTGAATTGTGACGAATATGAACAAAAATCTCTTATAAAAATAAAATCAATACTTTAAAAATTAAATTGAATAATTCGAAACTCAAGAGATCAAATAGAAACTCCATAAATATTTTAATGGTGCAAATCACCCCGATACCTTATATTGGCAATGCCATCACAGATGTGACTACTAGAATTGTACTCAACTAAAACCAGCAGGGTTGGTGCACCTTTCTTTAACCACCACTTCTGTTATGCCAATCCTAACAAGCTGTTTTTTTCCAACCCCAAACAACTAAACTATAATCTATAATATATATATACTAGTTATTATCTATGCCCGAAGATACAGAATAGTAAAAAATGATATATAATAAACATATTTGTATTCATATCTAAAATCAAATCATAAACATGGAGAAGCGATAAAATAATTTAAGTATTGGTTTGTAGTGAGAGTGAAAGGTGGTGGACATTAGTGAAGGTGATAGGCGGCGGTGATGGTTGTGGTGAGTGGCATTGACCGTGGTGGTGGTGGCGACGGCGACGATAGTGGTGCAGTGGCAGTGGCGGTAGCGCTGGTGATGATGGTGGCGGCGATGATGATGATGGCAACGACGATGACAATGATGGTGGTGGCGACGATAATGGTGGTGGCAGTGGTGGCGGTGGCGGTGCGGCGGCGGTGGTGGTGATGGCAATGGCAGTGGTGGTAATGGTGACGGTGTCGATAGTGGTGAAACGGTTTCAAACACTATTTTTTTTAAAAGNATGGTGGTGGCGGTGCGGCGGCAGTGGTGAAACGGTTTCAAATACTATTTTTTTTTTTAAAGTATTTATGATAAATTATTTCTAAAAGTACTTTTAAAAAGTTATTTCACACACACTCTTATGGGTTTATTTTTTCTATTAAATTTAGGGTGTTAATATTAGCCGTTAGATTAATTTTAAAGTTAAATTTAAAATGATCTTAACTGCGAATAGCAAAAGTAGCTTACAATTCAAATCTTAAAAATAAATAAAATGATTTTTACTACTCGCGGTTGAGATCGCTTTAAATTTTATTTGAAAATTAATCTAACGGCTAATATTAACACCCTAAATTAATAGGAAAAATAGGCCCCTAAAGATGTGTTTGAAGTGACTTTTTAAAATTATTACTAGAAATTATTCTCATAAATACTTTAAAAAAAAATAATATTTGAAACTGCCTCACCACTACCCCCACTCCCACTACCACTACCACCACCACCATCGTAGTTACTACAGCCATCACCATCGTCGCCACCACCACCACTACCACCGCCACCATCACTGTCGCCACCATTATCGCCACCATCACCGTCACCGCCACCACTACCACCATTGCCACCATCACCGCCGCCACCCACCACAACCATCACTGTTCGCTACCATCACCTCTCACTATTACTACAAATCGATGCTTAAATTATTTTCTCTCTTTTTTATATTTGTGATTTGATTTTACATATGAATACAAATATGTTTATTATTTATCATTTTTTTTTACTCTGTGCCTTCAAGTACAAACAATAACAAGTATATATATATATATATATATTATCTAAACTAAGTAATATAGAATATTAAGTTTACATTATGTCGGTCTTGTTTTTCAAGAAAGCAAAAGGAAAGAGGTGTTAACTTGGTATCATTAAACACCCCCCACAGATTTCTTGGCGAGACTCCGATGGATAGAGAGAGAGAGAGAGTTTCTTGGTAATTTCTGTCCCTAAAGGCCAAATTGTTTCTGGGTTAGGTTGGTTTTGAGAGAATCTCTACAGACAGAGCTATCCAATTCCAACTACCAACTACGATGGCAAGTTTGGGTCGCTGGCTTATTGGCAAACCGTCGCCGCCTAACCATCCCTTTCATCATGTCCTCTCTCTCTCTCTCTCACACACACACACACACGCACGCACACACACGCACTCATACTTCACGCCATATTTGTATCCACCTCTGCTCCTTCACAGCTTTTATGGGACTTCCTCTAACTCATGATTACATGCACACATGACGTGATACCATCTTTATATAGAGAAAGAGAGAGTGAGGCATAGAGAAACTTAGACTCAGTGAAGTGAGTGAGAGAGAGAGAGATTCATGACGAAGGTAGATGAATTGGTGCCACATCCGGTGAAAGAGCAGCTCCCTGGAGTCGACTTCTGTGTCAATAGTAATCCTTCATGGCGTACGTACTACTACTTACCCATTTCCACTTCTTCTTCCTCCTCTTCCAATCTCTCTCTCGGAGGCATCCATTTTCTTTCCTCTGTTTTTTTTTTTTGTTTTCTTTAAATTATTCCGTATGTAGAAATTTGTCAATGAGTCTGTTTGCATTCTCTACATCTCATTGCTTTTGTCAATTAACAACTTACCCCCAAATTGTTCATGTTAGCGACATATTGTATCAATACCTACTCTTATATCTTCCATATGAACAGCGCTTCTAAGCTTCTTTCAATTCTCTGTTCTTTGCACTTATTTCTTTAATTTTTCACCCAGTTGGGTTCTGTTTTTTTCCTTTCATCAAAACATTTGGACATATCCGAGGCTCCCGTCGTTGCGGGATCTGTGAAGGTTACATGTATGTACGTTAACTTAAACCCGTGATCTCCATGGCACAATGAAACAATGTACCTTTATGGTTCATCAAAACATTTGATTGATTTAAATATGTTTGGCGCACATTTCTGAAGAATCAAATGAATCAATAACTTTCTTTAGGTGAATTAGATCAATATTGTACTCTAGAATTTCTATGGCNATTATGGTTCATCAAAACATTTGATTGATTTAAATATGTTTGGCGCACATTTCTGAAGAATCAAATGGATCAATAACTTTCTTTAGGTGAATTAGATCAATATTGTACTCTAGAATTTCTATGGCACCTTCCCTAACTTTGGTACTTTATACTTTCCATATTTTATTTTAATTTTTCTGTTATGTATACATGTATATAGATTGTTCTTGCAGATTACATATTATCAAATTAATGAATTTTAATTTACAAAACAATTCTAAGTTGCTCAGTTTAATGCAGTTGAAGCCATCATTCTGGGTTTTCAGCACTATCTGGTAATGCTTGGGACCTTGGTTATCATTGCAAGAGTCATTGTTCCTCAGATGGGTGGTGGAAATGTAAGAATTTTGGTGCAATTACTACTTATAATAATTAGCAGTATCTCTTATATGCTTTGATTTTCCATGTACTTCAACCTTTCAATTGAAGGTACTTTTTTTTATTTATTCTCCTTCAGGCAGAGAAGGCTCAAGTGGTACAGACTTTGCTCTTTGTTGCTGGAATTAACACACTATTGCAGACTTGGTTTGGTACTCGGCTTCCAGTGGTGATAGGGGGTTCATTCAGATTCATTCTTCCCACTCTATTTGTGGTTTTATCCAATAGATATAATACATATATCCAGCCTCATGACGTTAGTCCTATTCTCATTTCCTTTGTTTCGTGTCTGGATGGTGTATTTATACAATTCAAGTTATGTTGTCTCTTTTGATTAATTTCCTCAGAGGTTTACCCATACAATGAGAGGCATACAAGGGGCTCTTTTGATTGCATCCATTCTGCCAATATTAGCTGGTTTTTTTGGTGTCTGGAGAATTTTTGTGAGGTGGGTTATGCAGTAGGGTGACTGTGGAAGATAGCAAATTAGTGTCCATTCCATGATTTTGGAATCTTGATATTGTTTTATCTGATAATGTAGGTTTCTAAGCCCTCTCTCTGCTGTTCCTCTGGTTACACTTGTTGGACTGGGGCTTTACACAAATGGTTTCCCACTGGTAAGGGTTCTGAAGACTTCATGTTTCTTCATTTTTTCATGAATTGCAAGCTTGTGGTGTGTCCTAGTCTACCTTGTCTTGTGGGGATAATATTCACCCTGATGAGGATTGATATTATTTGCTAAACTTAGTCTTTTTCATTGTAAGTAATGATAGTAGCCGTTGGGTCTCACTGGGCACCCCAGATGGATTTTCATGCCACAAGCATTGTCATTTGTCTACAAGTGCCTTCAACAGCTCCTAAACATGGACTATTTTTGGCGTAACTTTGTGTGGAATAATAATTTGTTCACAATCGTTTTGCCATCAATGAACTCCTTCATCCATCTATATCCACAATGATTGGATCTGCAGATTAAGTCCTGCACCATAATCATAATTTTTTCAGAACCACCTTGTCAACTTTTTTATCACTTAAAGTCTTGATGCTTGTTTTACAAAACAAGTATTTCTGAAAATCTTATTGAAATTTAGGTACCGGCTGTTCTCAGTATTAGTGACTGTAAAGCAACATGTATGTTGGCCTGAAGTGGATTTAACTCCTTGCTTGGCTATTTCATGAAGATCTTGTTTGTTTCCCAACTTCAATTGTCTTATATTTTACTTGATATTTATAGCTGGCAGAATGTGTCGAGGTTGGGCTCCCAGAGTTGATTATACTAATTTTCTTATCTCAGGTGAGTAGATTTTTGGTTATTGTTTTTTTTCCCAAGTCATTGTACAAATGCCAACTGTTTTTATGTTTTGATTTTTAATCTGCTTATCTGCTCTATAGAAAACTTGTGCTTGATAAGACAGCAAACCTGCACAAGCGATGGCCATAAACCAACCAAACCATAACTGAAGTTGAACAAACCTATTGTTGAATAAATATATGAAAAATTAATTATGCAAGGCAAAGACTGGTTTAGTCACATTTGTTTTGATTATATTGGGAAAGTAATGGTAGTTGATTGGACTAGGTAATTGCACCTTGAAAAACTGTCTGTAGAATTTAGAGGGTTTGTCTCCCTGGCTTTCTTCCTTGACTACATGCGTAACTCTTTTGTGAAGTGGTTGGGACTTAAAAAGTGGTTGGGAATTAAGGTTGTGTCATCATTTACTGAATTTGCAAATTATGGGAATATATTTTTTTTTTCTGGTGTAAAACTACTAATTTAATTAAATGTTTTTTTTTTGTAGAAATATATTTACATGAATTCTGCGCTGTTATCTCTGATATTGAGGGTAAACATTGCTTTTGCAGTATATTCCTCACATGTGGAAAACGAAACGACCAATAATAGATCGATTTGCTGTCGTACTCTCGGTAGGCATAGTATGGGCATATGCAGCCCTTCTAACTGCAGCAGGTGCATACAAAAATAGACCTGCAAGTACTCAGTTTAGTTGCCGTGTTGATCGCTCCGGGCTCGTCAGTGGCGCTTCTTGGTTAGCTCTTCCTGCTAGTTGCATATCTTGTTCTCAATCCCTGTGTGTATAAGAACATAAGAATTACTTTTTCATGTGTTAAAATGTTCATATTTTTATTAATCTCTGTTTGAATTCCAAATTTGCAATATGCCATGTCCCAGTCAATCTATAATGTTCAAATATTTTGAGCAATTAGAAGTTCCGAAGCGCCTATGAGGAGGTGGAATGTTTATCCAGTGCTTGGAATCAGCGAACTAAATTAATTGACTTCTCATTTATCAAAACAACCATAGAATCACACAAATATCACATTACTGAACCAAGTATTGTTACTTTGGAAGTCTAAAGTTTGAAGCCATGTAGACAAAATTTCTCATCATCTGCAACTTCAGTTTATATATGATTGGAGGTTTACCCAAAATCTCAATGTATGAAGGTGACTAATCTGGTCTTGACATGCCTATGGACCACTTCTCTGATTACAAAGTAAATTAGTTTCAGCTTGCAACTTGAGTGAGTTTTGTACTTCATTTCTTATGACAACTTGTACTACTACTCAACGTGCAGGATAAAGGTTCCATATCCATTCCAGTGGGGTCAACCCAATGTCGGTGCTGGGGATGCCTTTGTAATGATGGCAGCTGCTTTGGTTGCTCTTATTGAGGTTGGTATATTTATTGCGAGCTTAAATATTCTGCTATATAGATAGCTGCTTGCTTGATTTTCTTTTTTACTTCGAATTGTCATTTGGTAGAAATACACGACTAAGCAAGTGTTTGGTAATAGATTTAACTGATTTTTCAATACGTTTTTAAATTTCTTGCTGAACTCCTAATGTATTCCCTGACTCTGTAGTATTCTCTCCATGTGATTTGACTGTCATTGTTTTTTTTTGAAACTGAATTGGATCACCCGTTTTGAACTTAGGCCACTACTTTTCAGTTCGTTTATTTAATTTATTCGAGTTTATTCTTATAGTCAACGGGTGCATTTATTGCTGCTGCAAGATTTGGGAGTGCCACACATGTACCATCTTCTGTTCTCAGCCGTGGTGTTGGCTGGCTGGTAGGAAGTGATCTTGTGATACACCTTTGTTTTCCTTTCTTAATCTTACACATAGATAAGTATTAGTTTTGATTCATCCTTCTATTCTTTTTGCGATTTTCAGGGAGTGAGCTTGTTGTTGGATGGTTTATGGGGTACAGGAAGTGGCTCTACTGTTTCAGTGTAATATATTTGATCTGTTGAACTAAAAGCTAACATTGTTTCAGCTAGAGGATGCTTATATTAGGACATCTGCTCCTCCAACTTGTGTTTGAGTCAACTTTACCTTGATTTTCTGATGTTAACCCGCCTTTGATTTCTGTAAATTATTTCAAGTTGGTTATAGAGAAAACAAAAGATGGTTTACATAAGCTGAAATGTTCTTGTGGCAGATAATCTGATTGTTTAAGCAAATGATATTGGATTTTTCCATGACCATCCAAACCGTTACAAATCCTAAAGCCTGGGTATATGTTTATACAAGCCTAACAGTTGGGTTTATTGAGGAGCAGATGTCCTAATCCAAGCATTTACTTTTGCCTATCTATGTTAAATTAATGTATTTTATTATGTAGTGAAAATGTAGGTCTTTTGGCACTGACACGAGTTGGAAGCCGAAGAGTAATTCAAATGTCAGCAGGGTTCATGCTTTTCTTCTCAATATTAGGTGTGTTCTTCTGTCAAATTTTCTTCGCTTATTCTTAATAACATTGCATTGTTTAGCGTTTGACTATATGTACTTTGTATAAACAGAGTTTAAGCAAAAAAGAGAGCTTAAGCAATTTCATACTGTCGTAAAAGGAATTCCTAATGTAGCTTGCAATTATGTTCATGGTTTTGGACCTTGTTTTTTTGCCCTCACGGTATGATATACTGTTATGTCACTGAGCAGGAAAGTTTGGAGCTGTTGTTGCATCTATACCATTGCCAATTGTTGGAGCTCTATATTGCGTCTTGTTCGCCTACATGTGTATGTACTGCGTTTATTTCTCAGTCAAGAATATAGCTAAATTTTGAATCTTATTGTCTACAACCTGTTTCATATACATAATCGGTGATACTCCAATTTTTTTATAATGAAGTTTCTATTATTGAAGGAGAAATCCTAGCGACAAATATGATTTGAATGATTACTTACAATCATTTACTTGTAGAATACAACAAAGGCAGAAACACCTGCATAAAAAATGAGGATCAGGAAACCTCCTGTAATTTTAATAAATTCTCGATTGTCAGTAAACTGAAATATATCTTCCTGACAGAGTTACTGGATTCTTTAATTTATTTAATGCCTTCATCTTTTTCTCTGATTCCATGGATATGATCATGGTCCAGTAATAGTTACTTGCAACTTTCCCATGCAAATTTGACTCACCATCTCTCCAATTATTGTGTTAATGCTCTTACATAATTTCAAGCTCAACTCATGGCAACAAGCCTTGCTCTCAGCTACTATGCTCGGCTACACGTGTTCATGTTTTTTTTCATTCCCTTTGTAGAGAGATACTCTGAGTTAGAAATAAGACGACAAGAAAGCTATTAGTGCATGTAAGCAAGTCTTTACTAGTTCATGCCACTTGGAAAGGGAATCTTAGCTCGACAATTATGAAAAACACGAATACATATTTTCCGTTTCACACACGATTGTTGCTATTCTATTTGGTTTATATGTTCTTTTCGCAATTGCTTGACATTTGATTATGGAATCCTGGGGCGGTGCAGCTTCTGCTGGTCTTGGTTTACTTCAGTATTGCAACCTCAACAGCTTCAGAACGAAGTTCATAATTGGTTTCTCTTTCTTCATGGGCCTTTCGGTGCCACAGTACTTCAATGATTATGTGGTAAATACTGGTTTGGGTCCTGTTCGCACTCATTCTGCTTGGGTATGGATATTTGAACTTTGAGCTAGTCTTAGGACTTGCCTTTGCCTATTTGATGTTCTTAGAGTTTTAGAGGAGACTTAATTTTGATCTTTTGCCATTATCTGCAGTTCAACACGGTAATGCTAGTGATCTTCACGTCGCCAGCCGTGGTGGCAGCCATGGTTGCGGTGTTCTTGGACAACACCTTTGCTCGTAAACATCCCTCCACTCGGAAAGACAGTGGTAGGCACTGGTGGGCAAAGTTCAAATATTTCGATAAAGATGCCCGAAGTGCAGAATTCTATTCTCTCACTCTCAATCTTACAAAATACTTTCCTTCGGTCTGATATAGTGCAATTGCATATTGGAGTTCAAGAGGACTACATAAACAGTATCATTTGAAATTCATTCTGCCGATGAATGACCTTACTAGTATACGATGGCATAAAAAAAAATATACGATGGCAGTGATGTTGAAATCTACGATGATCGAACAAGGGACAAGATATATCAAATTTTATCAATATATAAGGAGAAAGTAGTTTGTTATTAGATGCTGCTTGAGCATAATACTACAATGCTATAACTAAATTTCCTCTCACACAGGATTTTTTACCAGTATTTATTGCTACAGGTCTTGTTCATAAACCTTCAATACCTTGGCTTAGTTGTTTCTTCTGAAGTTTTGAGTTTTGCTCAATTTCCCTTTACTTTGCAAAGGGTTTGGATTTTGAATGGGAAATTTTGAAGAATGCTAGCTCCCTTCTGCACTCTCCCCCCCAACCCACCCACAAAGGAAAAACAAAAAATGGTTCAAGGTTTCTCAATTCGAGGTGAGTTCAAAAATTATTATCGGTAAGTGGGTCGTTCAGTCATATACATGAATAATATTAACTAATATTGAGAATAAAATGGATTTAAAAAGATATAGTTCTTGCACTTTCTCAGTTTTAGCTCTTAGGGCATCACTTGTACTAATAAGGTTAAGTGTACAAAATATGCTCTTTTTGCAAGAAATTTCTATAGGATTTAGGTGTTATTAATCTTTTTATGAAGTGTCCTATTCAATGTCCCTAAAATAGTACATCCATTTTGTCTTATTTATTTAGCACCATATCCATATTGACACATTCTCTAGTCCAAGTCCCATAAGTTTCCATCATTTCATATCTTGCAATATAAAAAATTAAATTTATAGTTGTGCATTTGTTTTTCGATTTAACCGTCAAAGGTGTGCGAATGAGCTTACACAGAATTGTACATTTAGGAGAATGTGGCATCTAGATTTTGTAATCAATACCAAACTATGGACAAACGTTTAAGATCAATGTATCACTTATAATTGTGCATTTGTATCACTTAATTTCCATGAACTTTAAGATCAATAATGCAACAAACCTTCATTATACCTTGGTTGGTAATCAATAATGCAAAGTTTACTATACCACAAACTTAATGGTCACTGTACCACTCGTTTGCTCTAATTAGGCAATGACATTTATGTCCAAGTCCTAATGTCAGGGAATTGAATTACGTTGAAAACGAAGAAAAATGATAATCCAGATCGTTTGTACCCGTTATACTTGTTGGATATGGAGTTGACTACCATACCGAAAAATAAATTTATTATTTTAATAGATATTGTTATAATTTTTGTGGGTCATTTTATAATTAAAAAATTTACGACTTTTATGGGTAATTTATTACTTTAGTAGGTATTTTTACCATTGTTGTGAGTATTTTTACCACTATTATGGTAATTATTTTTACCACTTTTCTTCAATATAAAAAAATCTATCACTTTTGTAAATAATTTATCATATTTATTGGTGTTTTTATTACTATTGTGATAACTATTTTTACCATTTTTTCAATACCACAAATAATAATAAAAACACTCCCAAATGATAAATTTCAATACGATATCAGATTTTTTTTAATAGTTAATATCGAACCTGTCAACCTAATTCAAATCCAGGGCATTTGATGCTTACAATTTACAAGTAACTGTCTATTCAAAAAAAACACAAAAAAAATTTACAAGTAATTATGTGAGGGGAATTTTAACCTTAACTTAAATATAGATTTAAATTTAAATTTGAGTTAAAATAACTCAAAAAATTTCTCTAACTTTAAATTCAAACTTATACCAAATAAATACAAAACTTATTTTGAACCCAAATTGAAGCAGATTTAAATTTTATACCAAATTTCTAACGTTAATTTTTTGAATTTATTTAAAACTAAAAGACTTCTTCTTTGCCTCTTCTTTTGTTTCTCTGCTACACTGTTTCTATCACCGACCACCACCAAAATTTTCATAAATCATTTGAAGGCTTGTAACTAAGTTTTTTCTTTTTTATCTTCCATATTTTTGATTTCTTTTATTTTTTAAAACCCTAATTTCACTCATCTTTCATACTATATAAACCCTAAACTTAACTATCAAAATTTTCTTTGATTTTTTTGAGTTAAACATTATTGGTAATACAATTTCAGGGCATTGATTCTTTTTGAAATTTTAAGTCTTATTTACCCACAAATTTAAAATATTTGTCATTTAATTTTTTCAATCTTCCATTTTTGTTAAAAACGTTTGTTTTTGTATTCTTCAGACCAGATTCATATCAAAATAGTTATATTTGTTTTTTTTTTTTTTTATCTGAATTTAGAAAAAAATCTATATAATAAAGTAGCTTACGATTCAAATCTCAAAAGATAAACAAAATGACTTTTGTTATTCGTGGTTGATATCACTTTAAATTTTACTTTAAAGTTAATTTAACAACTAATATTAAAACTCTAAATTTAATAGAAAAAAAATAAGCCCTTAAAGGTCTGTTTGGAATATTTTTTTAAAAATGTTTTTAGGAATTATTTCTCATAAGTATTTTTTTTTAAATATTATTTTGAACCACTTTACCACTATCTCTACCATCCACCACCGCCACCACCACTGCCACCACCGCCGCCATCACTACAGTCACTACCACTGCCACCCCCCACCACTACCATCGTCGCCGCCACCGCCACCACCATCACCATCACCGCTATCATCACCACTTCCGCCACCGCCACCTCCACCTCCATTTCCACCGCCATTGCCTTCACCACCACCATCATTGTCGTCGCCGTAGCCACTACCACCGTCGCCGCCACTATTACCATCATTGTTTTCGCCGTCATCACCATCATCATCGCTGCTGCCACCACCACCGCCACCACAACTATTATTGTCTCCTATCACTACCACTATAACTATCGCCACCATCTCGCACCCTCTATATGAATACAAATGTTTTTATTATTTATCATTTTTTATTACTCTGTACATTCAAAGATAGACAATAACTAGTAATAAGTTATTAGAACAATATTAGAATTATTGGATGATTTCTTTATTTCCATGTAATCTTGTATATAAATATTCTTTTTTTTTTGAATTACCCATTTGTAGAGAGATGAAAGTTTCATTTATTTTTTTATCAAATATCATGATTTGAATCACATAAAAAAAGAGTTTTGGGATAATAANATTTTTTTTGAATTACCCATTTGTAGAGAGATGAAAGTTTCATTTATTTTTTTTATCAAATATCATGATTTGAATCACATAAAAAAAGAGTTTTGGGATAATAAGAAATTTTTTAAAAAGATTTGAATAGATATTTGATTTTGCTCATTGGAATACTTTGTATCAAATCAAACTTTTAAATCAAATTTAGACTCATAGTTAGAGATGCTCTGATACCTTAAATATACGGATCAGTGAGAAGTCTAAAGTATACAATCATTTTCTCCAGAGTTTACAAAAAAAATAGTTGTTAAAAAGTTTAATGATGAAAAAAAATATAAATAGCAATATGGTACCAAAGAAAAATAACACTTGTATTCTTAAGGGGTAATTCAAATGGTAACAAGAACAAGTTATAAATTAAGACGCATGAAGTTCAAATCTTGACAATTCTTTAAAGTCAGATTACGATGAATTATTCTAGTCCTGACATGGATGACCTGTCTTTGATTGGAACAAAAATAAAATTAGTTGAAGTGTAGGTAAATTATTTTGAATATTTTTGACCATTAAACAAAAAAAAAAGTTAATTCTTTTTAAAGGTCATGTTACACGTTTGGAAAGTAATATTGTAATTGTTTGTGTTAAATTCTAAAATTCTGTGGTCGATTAGCCTTTTGGCTAAGATCAAGTGTGGTCGATTATGAATATTTTAATTAATTGTAATTTTTTTTAAGAGTTAAAACTTAAATTTTAATAGTTATAATTTTTTTGATTGAACGGAAAATATTTTTTTGAAACTATAATGTATATANTAATTTTGATCTTTTGCCATTATCTGCAGTTCAACACGGTAATGCTAGTGATCTTCACGTCGCCAGCCGTGGTGGCAGCCATGGTTGCGGTGTTCTTGGACAACACCTTTGCTCGTAAACATCCCTCCACTCGGAAAGACAGTGGTAGGCACTGGTGGGCAAAGTTCAAATATTTCGATAAAGATGCCCGAAGTGCAGAATTCTATTCTCTCACTCTCAATCTTACAAAATACTTTCCTTCGGTCTGATATAGTGCAATTGCATATTGGAGTTCAAGAGGACTACATAAACAGTATCATTTGAAATTCATTCTGCCGATGAATGACCTTACTAGTATACGATGGCATAAAAAAAAATATACGATGGCAGTGATGTTGAAATCTACGATGATCGAACAAGGGACAAGATATATCAAATTTTATCAATATATAAGGAGAAAGTAGTTTGTTATTAGATGCTGCTTGAGCATAATACTACAATGCTATAACTAAATTTCCTCTCACACAGGATTTTTTACCAGTATTTATTGCTACAGGTCTTGTTCATAAACCTTCAATACCTTGGCTTAGTTGTTTCTTCTGAAGTTTTGAGTTTTGCTCAATTTCCCTTTACTTTGCAAAGGGTTTGGATTTTGAATGGGAAATTTTGAAGAATGCTAGCTCCCTTCTGCACTCTCCCCCCCAACCCACCCACAAAGGAAAAACAAAAAATGGCTCAAGGTTTCTCAATTCGAGGTGAGTTCAAAAATTATTATCGGTAAGTGGGTCGTTCAGTCATATACATGAATAATATTAACTTATATTGAGAATAAAATGGATTTAAAAAGATATAGTTCTTGCACTTTCTCAGTTTTAGCTCTTAGGGCATCACTTGTACTAATAAGGTTAAGTGTACAAAATATGCTCTTTTTGCAAGAAATTTCTATAGGATTTAGGTGTTATTAATCTTTTTATGAAGTGTCCTATTCAATGTCCCTAAAATAGTACATCCATTTTGTCTTATTTATTTAGCACCATATCCATATTGACACATTCTCTAGTCCAAGTCCCATAAGTTTCCATCATTTCATATCTTGCAATATAAAAAATTAAATTTATAGTTGTGCATTTGTTTTTCGATTTAACCGTCAAAGGTGTGCGAATGAGCTTACACAGAATTGTACATTTAGGAGAATGTGGCATCTAGATTTTGTAATCAATACCAAACTATGGACAAACGTTTAAGATCAATGTATCACTTATAATTGTGAATTTGTATCACTTAATTTCCGTGAACTTTAAGATCAATAATGCAACAAACCTTCATTATACCTTGGTTGGTAATCAATAATGCAAAGTTTACTATACCACAAACTTAATGGTCACTGTACCACTCGTTTGCTCTAATTAGGCAATGACATTTATGTCCAAGTCCTAATGTCAGGGAATTGAATTACGTTGAAAACGAAGAAAAATGATAATCCAGACCGTTTGTACCCGTTATACTTGTTGGATATGGAGTTGACTACCATACCGAAAAATAAATTTATTATTTTAATGAATATTTTTATAATTTTTGTGGGTCATTTATAATTAAAAAATTTACGACTTTTATGGGTAATTTATTACTTTAGTAGGTATTTTTACCATTGTTATGAGTATTTTTACCAATATTATGGTAATTATTTTTACCACTTTTCTTCAATATAAAAAAATCTATCACTTTTGTAAATAATTTATCATATTTATTGGTGTTTTTATTACTATTGTGATAACTATTTTTATCATTTTTTTTCAATACCACAAATAATAATAAAAACACTCCCAAACGATAAATTTCAATACGATATCAGATTTTTTTTAATAGTTAATATCGAACCTGTCAACCTAATTCAAATCCAGGGCATTAATGGTCACTGTCTAAGAAAAATAACTTGATGAATTTGATGCTTACAATTTACAAGTAACTGTCTATTCAAAAAAAACACAAAAAAAGTTTACAAGTAATTATGTGGGGGATTTTCAACCTTAACTTAAATATAGATTTAAATTTAAATTTGAGTTAAAATAACTCAAAAAATTTCTCTAACTTTAAATTCAAACTTATATCAAATAAATACAAAACTTATTTTGAACNCTCCTACCACTACCACTATAACTATCGCCTACCATCTCGCACCCTCTATATGAATACAAATGTATTTATTATTTACTATTTTTTATTACTCTGTGCATTCAAAGATAGACAATAACTAGTAATAAGTTATTAGAACAATATTAGAATTATTGGATGATTTCTTTATTTCCATGTAATCTTGTATATAAATATTCTTTTTTTTTTGAATTACCCATTTGTAGAGAGATGAAAGTTTCATTTATTTTTTTATCAAATATCATGATTTGAATCACATAAAAAAAGAGTTTTGGGATAATAAGAAATTTTTTAAAAAGATTTGAATAGATATTTGATTTTGCTCATTGGAATACTTTGTATCAAATCAAACTTTTAAATCAAATTTAGACTCATAGTTAGAGATGCTCTGATACCTTAAATATACGGATCAGTGAGAAGTCTAAAGTATACAATCATTTTCTCCAGAGTTTACAAAAAAAATAGTTGTTAAAAAGTTTAATGATGAAAAAAAATATAAATAGCAATATGGTACCAAAGAAAAATAACACTTGTATTCTTAAGGGGTAATTCAAATGGTAACAAGAACAAGTTATAAATTAAGACGCATGAAGTTCAAATCTTGACAATTCTTTAAAGTCAGATTACGATGAATTATCCTAGTCCTGACATGGATGACCTGTCTTTGATTGGAACAAAAATAAAATTAGTTGAAGTGTAGGTAAATTATTTTGAATATTTTTGACCGTTAAACAAAAAAAAAAGTTAATTCTTTTTAAAGGTCATGTTACACGTTTGGAAAGTAATATTGTAATTGTTTGTGTTAAATTCTAAAATTCTGTGGTCGATTAGCCTTTTGGCTAAGATCAAGTGTGGTCGATTATGAATATTTTAATTAATTGTAATTTTTTTTAAGAGTTAAAACTTAAATTTTAATAGTTATAATTTTTTTGATTGAACGGAAAATATTTTTTTGAAACTATAATGTATATAACTCTAAAATTTTTAATACGACACCTCTTTCAATATTTTTAAAAAAGTATTGCGTTTATTCTAGTACTTGTACTATGAAATATCAAAATACTATTTTACCCTTAAAAAAACAGGAATTTCGATAGAGACCAGTCAATCACGAAAATCAAAGCGGAGAAAAGAAGATTTCTAATCAAATTATTCAAACAATAGAAAGTCAGAAAAAAAAAACACATCCAGCATAGAGAGAGAGAGAGGGGTGATCTGGTGCATCGCGACAGACAGATCAGAACCGTACACTTCCCCCACACCTCGAGCCCGTTGATAATTAAACCCGCTCTGCTGCCAACGTACACTCTCTCTCTCTCTCTCTGCACTTTGACACACATATACACAGTCCCTCAAACCCCTCCTGTCACTCACTAGACAATCCTCTAGAGAGAGAAACAGAGAGAGACAAACAGTGGGTGTCTGTTTGCTAAGCTATAATTAACATGTCTTCCACCAAACCATAAGCTGCCATGTGTTTCTCCACCGCACTACCACCACCACCACCAACCCCTCAGCCTCCGATTATTACTTCCACCAATGGCGTCACTGTTAAGTCGCCATTAATGACCACTCTTACAGACCCAAAACCGGAACAATGTCTCAGTCTGTAGAGCAGTCCGACGGTAGATTGTACTGTGCCGAAAACGCCAGCGAAGTGGTCCAATTCGATGCCGATAACCTGATCTCCGATTTCACATCACCATCGCAACCGGAAGACTCCGTTATCAATCAACTCATCGATTCGGAGCCCCATCACATGCCCCACCCGGACTATCTCCGTCTCTGTCAAGACCACTCCGTCGACCTCACTGCACGCCAAGACTCCATCAACTGGATCCTCAAGGTCTCTCTCTCTACATGTGTATATAGATATAAACTTTTATACGTATTTGTGTGTCTGTTGTAAATTGTAATTATTGCATTCGATACAGGTTCATGCACACTATCACTTCAGACCAGTAACGGCGTTTCTGTCTGTGAATTACTTCGACCGTTTTCTCTCTGTTCACTCTCTTTCGGTACGTCACATTTTATCATCTAAATTGAATGTATCTGTGTTTTTTTTTTNAAATTAAATTTATAGTTGTGCATTTGTTTTTCGATTTAACCGTCAAAGGTGTGCGAATGAGCTTACACAGAATTGTACATTTAGGAGAATGTGGCATCTAGATTTTGTAATCAATACCAAACTATGGACAAACGTTTAAGATCAATGTATCACTTATAATTGTGAATTTGTATCACTTAATTTCCGTGAACTTTAAGATCAATAATGCAACAAACCTTCATTATACCTTGGTTGGTAATCAATAATGCAAAGTTTACTATACCACAAACTTAATGGTCACTGTACCACTCGTTTGCTCTAATTAGGCAATGACATTTATGTCCAAGTCCTAATGTCAGGGAATTGAATTACGTTGAAAACGAAGAAAAATGATAATCCAGACCGTTTGTACCCGTTATACTTGTTGGATATGGAGTTGACTACCATACCGAAAAATAAATTTATTATTTTAATGAATATTTTTATAATTTTTGTGGGTCATTTATAATTAAAAAATTTACGACTTTTATGGGTAATTTATTACTTTAGTAGGTATTTTTACCATTGTTATGAGTATTTTTACCAATATTATGGTAATTATTTTTACCACTTTTCTTCAATATAAAAAAATCTATCACTTTTGTAAATAATTTATCATATTTATTGGTGTTTTTATTACTATTGTGATAACTATTTTTATCATTTTTTTTCAATACCACAAATAATAATAAAAACACTCCCAAACGATAAATTTCAATACGATATCAGATTTTTTTTAATAGTTAATATCGAACCTGTCAACCTAATTCAAATCCAGGGCATTAATGGTCACTGTCTAAGAAAAATAACTTGATGAATTTGATGCTTACAATTTACAAGTAACTGTCTATTCAAAAAAAACACAAAAAAAGTTTACAAGTAATTATGTGGGGGATTTTCAACCTTAACTTAAATATAGATTTAAATTTAAATTTGAGTTAAAATAACTCAAAAAATTTCTCTAACTTTAAATTCAAACTTATATCAAATAAATACAAAACTTATTTTGAACTCAAATTGAAACAGATTTAAATTTTATAGCAAATTTCTATCGATAACTTTTTGAATTTATTTAAAAGTAAAAAACTTCTTCTTTGTCTCTTCTTTTGTTTCTCTGCTACACTGTTTTTATCACCGACCACCACCAAAATTTTCATAAATCATTTGAAGGCTTGTAACTAAGTTTTTTCTTTTTTATCTTCCATATTTTTGATTTCTTTTATTTTTTAAAACCCTAATTTCACTCATCTTTCATACTATATAAACCCTAAACTTAACTATCAAAATTTTCTTTGATTTTTTTGAATTTAAACATTATTGGTAATACAATTTCAGGGCACTGATTCTTTTTGAAATTTTAAGTCTTATTTACCCACAAATTTAAAAATTTGTCATTTAATTTTTTCAATCTTCCATTTTTGTTAAAAACGTTTGTTTTTGTATTCTTTCAGACCAGATTCATGTCAAAATAGTTATATTTGTTTTTTTTTTCTTTATTTTTATCTGAATTTAGAAAAAAATTTATATAATAAAGTAACTTACAATTCAAATCTCAAAAGATAAACAAAATGACTTTTGTTATTCGTGGTTGATATCACTTTAAATTTTACTTTAAAGTTAATTTAACAGCTAATATTAAAACTCTAAATTTAATAGAAAAAAATAAGCCCTTAAAGGTCTGTTTGGAATAATTTTTTAAAAATGTTTTTAGGAATTATTTCTCATAAGTATTTTTTTTTAAATATTATTTTGAACCACTTTACCACTATCTCTACCACCACCACCGCCACCACCACTGCCACCACCGCCACCATCACTACAGTCATTACCACCGCCACCCCCCACCACCGCCACCTCCACTTCCACCGCTACCGCCACCACCATCGTCATCATCACCACCACTACCATCGTCGCCGCCACCCCCATCACCATCACCGCTATCATCACCACCTCCGCCACCGCCACCTCCACCTCCATTTACACCGCCATCGCCTTCACCACCACCATCACCGTCATCGCCGTAGCCACTACCACTGTTGTCGCCACTATTACCATCACTGTTTTCGCCGTCATCACCATCATCATCGCTGCTGCCACCACCACCGCCACCACAACTATTATTGTCTCCTACCACTACCACTATAACTATCGCCTACCATCTCGCACCCTCTATATGAATACAAATGTATTTATTATTTACTATTTTTTATTACTCTGTGCATTCAAAGATAGACAATAACTAGTAATAAGTTATTAGAACAATATTAGAATTATTGGATGATTTCTTTATTTCCATGTAATCTTGTATATAAATATTCATTTTTTTTGAATTACCCATTTGTAGAGAGATGAAAGTTTCATTTATTTTTTTTATCAAATATCATGATTTGAATCACATAAAAAAAGAGTTTTGGGATAATAAGAAATTTTTTAAAAAGATTTGAATAGATATTTGATTTTGCTCATTGGAATACTTTGTATCAAATCAAACTTTTAAATCAAATTTAGACTCATAGTTAGAGATGCTCTGATACCTTAAATATACGGATCAGTGAGAAGTCTAAAGTATACAATCATTTTCTCCAGAGTTTACAAAAAAAATAGTTGTTAAAAAGTTTAATGATGAAAAAAAATATAAATAGCAATATGGTACCAAAGAAAAATAACACTTGTATTCTTAAGGGGTAATTCAAATGGTAACAAGAACAAGTTATAAATTAAGACGCATGAAGTTCAAATCTTGACAATTCTTTAAAGTCAGATTACGATGAATTATTCTAGTCCTGACATGGATGACCTGTCTTTGATTGGAACAAAAATAAAATTAGTTGAAGTGTAGGTAAATTATTTTGAATATTTTTGACCATTAAACAAAAAAAAAAGTTAAATCTTTTTAAAGGTCATGTTACACGTTTGGAAAGTAATATTGTAATTGTTTGTGTTAAATTCTAAAATTCTGTGGTCGATTAGCCTTTTGGCTAAGATCAAGTGTGGTCGATTATGAATATTTTAATTAATTGTAATTTTTTTTAAGAGTTAAAACTTAAATTTTAATAGTTATAATTTTTTTGATTGAACGGAAAATATTTTTTTGAAACTATAATGTATATAACTCTAAAATTTTTAATACGACACCTCTTTCAATATTTTTAAAAAAGTATTGCGTTTATTCTAGTACTTGTACTATGAAATATCAAAATACTATTTTACCCTTAAAAAAACAGGAATTTCGATAGAGACCAGTCAATCACGAAAATCAAAGCGGAGAAAAGAAGATTTCTAATCAAATTATTCAAACAATAGAAAGTCAGAAAAAAAAAACACATCCAGCATAGAGAGAGAGAGAGGGGTGATCTGGTGCATCGCGACAGACAGATCAGAACCGTACACTTCCCCCACACCTCGAGCCCGTTGATAATTAAACCCGCTCTGCTGCCAACGTACACTCTCTCTCTCTCTCTCTGCACTTTGACACACATATACACAGTCCCTCAAACCCCTCCTGTCACTCACTAGACAATCCTCTAGAGAGAGAAACAGAGAGAGACAAACAGTGGGTGTCTGTTTGCTAAGCTATAATTAACATGTCTTCCACCAAACCATAAGCTGCCATGTGTTTCTCCACCGCACTACCACCACCACCACCAACCCCTCAGCCTCCGATTATTACTTCCACCAATGGCGTCACTGTTAAGTCGCCATTAATGACCACTCTTACAGACCCAAAACCGGAACAATGTCTCAGTCTGTAGAGCAGTCCGACGGTAGATTGTACTGTGCCGAAAACGCCAGCGAAGTGGTCCAATTCGATGCCGATAACCTGATCTCCGATTTCACATCACCATCGCAACCGGAAGACTCCGTTATCAATCAACTCATCGATTCGGAGCCCCATCACATGCCCCACCCGGACTATCTCCGTCTCTGTCAAGACCACTCCGTCGACCTCACTGCACGCCAAGACTCCATCAACTGGATCCTCAAGGTCTCTCTCTCTACATGTGTATATAGATATAAACTTTTATACGTATTTGTGTGTCTGTTGTAAATTGTAATTATTGCATTCGATACAGGTTCATGCACACTATCACTTCAGACCAGTAACGGCGTTTCTGTCTGTGAATTACTTCGACCGTTTTCTCTCTGTTCACTCTCTTTCGGTACGTCACATTTTATCATCTAAATTGAATGTATCTGTGTTTTTTTTTTTCGGAAAGATTGTATCTGTGTGTTGGGCCGTCTGAAAAAGTCCGATTTATGACGGAATTGTTAATGGTGTACAGCGGGGAAATGGGTGGCCGTTCCAGCTACTGTCGGTGGCGTGCCTGTCTTTGGCGGCAAAAATGGAGGAACTGTACGTTCCGCCATTGATAGACCTCCAAGTGTTGGAACCAAAGTTTATCTTCGAGCCCAAGACAGTACAGAGAATGGAGCTCTGGGTCATGGCCAACCTCCATTGGAGACTACGCTCAGTCACACCTTTTGACTACCTCGATTACTTCATCTTCAACCTCACTTTTTCCGGGTCCAAAACCAATCATTTTGCCCACATTTTATCCTCTTCCTCAGATCTTACTCTGAACACCACTCGTGGTAATCTTAGACCCACTTTGTTCTATAATTCCACAGTTCTCTTTTACATGAATTTTTGTTGATTTTTCTTTAATTTTATTTGGATTTTGATTGTTTTTCAGTGATCGATTTCTTGGGGTTTCCGCCGTCGGTTGTTGCAGCGGCCGCCGTGCTTTCCGCCGCCGGTGAAACTGCCGGATTACCCGATACCTGTTACGAGAGAGTGAACAAAGTAAAGTAAATTCTCGTTGTGCATATTCAAATAAGTAATTGTGGTGTGAAATGAAAATTTCAATTTTCTTGGGGGTGAATATGTAATTATTTTTGTATATTGGTGACAGGAAATGGTGAGAAGCTGTCGCCAACTAATCGAGCAGTACCTGGTTGACACGTGCCCCTCAAATACTCCAAAGGATCTGAGAACCGTACCGGCGGCTCCGCCCAGTCCCGTCGGCGTTCTTGACGCAGCCGCCGCATGCTGCAGCTGCGACACTAGGTCCGACAATCCCGTTCTCGGTTCCGAGTCATGCTCGGTCTTGGCCTCCGTGTTCAATGAATCGGACCCTCCAAATAAACGGCTAAGATCTTCTGCAGATGATGTACAGCAACAGGAACCGTAGATAAAAGACCTTATTTTTGAGAGAGCTGTATTTTTCATTATCTTTCTCTATTTGCCGTTGATTATTAATTGGACGGCCAAGATCAGAGGAGGAGATGACGGTAACGGAATTTTTTTTTTATTTTTTTTTGTGGCACTTGTTTAATATTTATAATTTTATGTACCTAAATTTTGTGACTGCTAGATTCTATTCGTTAATAATTTGCCTAGTTGAGTAATTATTCTATTTTATGATGTCCTTTTTTGTCAGAATAATCTACTCAGGTTCATGATTTTCCAATCATTCCTTAAGAAAACGCTTCAATCATTACTCAATGCCTACCAAATTTTTTATTTTTAAATCAATTCCTCTTCTTCTAAGTCCAAGGACTTGATTGAAATAAACTCCATTTGGACCCGGGATCCAAGTTTATTGAGCGATTTTTTAATTAATTTCTTGGGTAAAAATAATTTTTATTAATATCAAGAAAAAAGAAATTAAAAAATGAGGTTTTTCCAAGAATTTCTAAAGAAAAGATGATTTTTTTGGGAATAGTTTATGAATTCTTTTAACTCTAATTTTTTTATTTTATTTTTCATATCTTTATTTGGCACTCAAAAAAATCAATTCGAAATGGGTCCCAATAACAAATCAGCTTATTAACATGATGTGATCATCTTTACAAGAACCACTTGTACATAAAATGGTCCTCATTTTTTTTTCATACTTTCTTTACCCAACTAACCTTAGAAGCCATGCAAGATAACATTATCACACCTTGGACTACTTTAAGCCATTTGGGTACTGAAGTAATTTTTAAAGTCTGTTTGTAGTAATTTTTTAATTTTTTCGTGTCAAAATAAAAAAAAAATTAAATATATGTATAGATTATATATAATAGTTTCTACGATATGAATTTTAAATTTTTTTACGTTATTAATAATATTTTATAAATATAATAAATTAAAAAATTATATGAACCCATGAAAAAATTCTAAAAAATAAAAAACAAAATCTCATAAAATTAACTTTTTGAATCAATCTAAATAGATTTGTTTGGGTCCAAAAAATTATTACATAAACTGATAAAAAAACTAAGTTCCGAATGAATTTGACTTATTCTTTTTTTAAACTTTTCAAAGCTCCTTATTTAAGGTACTTCCAAACAAATCCAAAGTGGTACTCAACGGGATGCAGTTTTTGTTCTTGTGAAAACTACTTAAACAAACCCCTAAATATGGGTGTTCAAATTTTCAATTAGTTTTCTTATCTTAATCGATCTTTATCTGATTGTATTGAATGGCTAGCTAAAAATATTGGGCAGGAATGCATAAATTTTTTTGATTTTTTGATTAAATCGGATAAGAATGCGAAATAGCCATAAATTTTTGTATTTTTATCTTACACTATGCGCATTAATTACTTAATTTATATATATAAGCTAAAAATCCTAATTTTCTAATCATATGATTTAAACTTAAAATAATTATTATTGTATTTATGTAATAATTATGATGAATTGATGTTTATGATTTCTTGTGTTTTATTGTAATTGTTATTGTAATTGTTTTAGATTTTAGTGTTATTGGTTTATTGTGTTGTTAAATTGGTGCATGTTATTTAATTGAATTGTTAAAATGATCCAAAAATTAATAATTACAAAATCATTCACCCAATTTCCTACAAACTTCTTAGCCGATTAATTTGGCCGAAAATCGGATAAGAATACCACACTTGATCAAGTAGGGTAAGTCAACAAAAAAATCTTCCGTAAAATATCGGGTAGGAAGACGAAAAATCATATTTCCTAGCGTAGGGTAGGGTGTACACCCCTACCCCTAACTTTCATATCAATTTTAGTTGGAAAAATCACACATTACTCTCAAAAAGATTTCAAAATTCTTAATTTCCACCCTAAAAGTTAAATTTTCACAAATTGCACCCCCCCAATAATACAAATCAGTTGCAATCAAGAAGGAGCTGATCGGTAAAACACTACATTAGGACAAGGTTTTTTTTTTCTTTTTATTGAGTATGGGAGAGATAGTTAAGTGTTGTATAAGTTTAGGATTGAATGTTTAAACTTAAATAACTAAAGTTTGTACTTTTGTTTCAAAATTTCTAATTTGAATTATTCAAGTTTATAATTTTTATTTATGTTTTTCGATAGAAAATTGCAAGATTGAGCCCATTGGTGGATGGGTTGAAAATGCCATTTCAACTTAAGTTATACAACTCTAAATTTAAATTTAATTGGAAATCGAATTCAATTTGAACTATTAAACCCAAGTACTAACTATTTTTCTATTTTTGAACTTGGGCTCAACTTTATTTCATTATTTGTGTTTAAATAGGATAAAAATTCAAATTTGAAACTCGTTTTATACAATTCAGATTAAATTTTAAATTAAGTATAAGTTGAACATAAGTTTGATTCTAGAGTTACACAATTAGGGTATGAATTTAAGTTCATCAATTGAATCTTGAATCGATAGTGTAGATGGGTTAAGGTTGCGCTCGATAAATCAAGATTCTAAATTCCAACCAAATGTATCCTACCTATTATTCTTTGCTCAAGTTTAATAATTTTTAAAATAAATTAAAATTGTTTGCATTAATCCATTCAAATCCCTCTAAAAATTCACAATTTCATAGGGAGGAGGGCATAATTGTAATTATGTATGTATCCAGGTTTACAAACGCTCTAGATTTGAGAAGATTTTGAACGTGACAAGAGAGACTAATACGGGGGTTGGATGGATAAGGTACGTTACCGCGTAGGTATCACATCAAAAAAAGGGATCGGAATTTTTATTTTAATTTGAATGTTTTTTAATTGTTGCTAAAAAATAAATTAAAATTAACAAATTTTTAAAAATTAAATCCCTCATAATTCAAATCGAAAGAATTGTCAAAAATACACACCGAACAAGTCTAACTTTGGAGTTAGTAGAGATATATTCAATTTCATTCGAGAATTGTAAACGGGGATGACGTGTGCATGACGTCCACTTTCCACGTCGGGTGTGGTGGGAAAAAGGAGAAAGATGGCGCGAAAGGATCTGAGTGGGGGAGAGATGTGGGAGACAGTTATGGTGGGGCGGGAGGGGGGAGGGAGGGAACACTATTGAGGACAGTCCCAGCTGTAAAGGAAAAGATTTGATATGGGTGGACACCACCATCTCCAATGGTCATATCACTCTAAGGACTGTACGGGTACATATCCCCCCACCTGTTGTTTTTAGTCCCCATATTTTATTGCATTAGAAGGGCCCATCAACATGATGTTTACGGTATACCAGAAATTATAATTTTTTAACGAGAAAGTTATAATATTTTTGAGTTATAAATTATAATTTTAAATAATATAATTGATCATATAATTTTAAGATTGATATCGTATTTTTCATGATTGATTTATAATCGATCATGATCTCCCTTGAACAATTGCATCTTCTTATTTCAAAATTATAATTTTACCATATAAAATAGTAATTGACAATACCAATATCAAAATTCTTTTTCAGTACTAGATTTTTCATTTTTCATAAACTTTTTGGTATGTATAACATTACTATTAAATGATGGAAAACTTTATGGTGTCAATTTTTTTTATGTCCCCAAAAGTTAAAATTTTTTATTTTAATGTTATACATTTGAAAGATGAAGTTATAACTGATAAAGGGAAAGCTCATTATCAATCATAAATACACATGAATGTTTATGGTTTCTTTTGATCAATTATAATTTCTCTTTATTTATTTATTTTTTGTTAGAAGTCATGGTATTTAAATTTATGTTGATTACTCTATTAAGCTCATATACTGATTATCATAGTCCGAGTGAGTTTAGAATATGTTCTTTGAAGAATAAGGATGACTAGTCCTTAAGAGATATAAAAAGTGTTAAACTTCAAATTTCTGGGTTACTAAAGATCTGACTCAGCCATTGAACCACTCCTAATAACCAACCACCCTCTTGGATTATAAACTTATTCTCTAAAAATTGTAATTTTTATGCTCAATCATATTATTTATAAGTTGTAACTTATATTTTAAAAAATTATAACTTAATTTTAAAAAATTATAATTTTCGGTACGTTTGCGGTATCGTAGCCTTTGCCTTAAATGATATAACTTTTGGTATAATATTGAAAAGATATTATAGTCCTTCTCCTATATCATTGGAGCAAGTGGTTACTAATATTCGTATATTCATTTTTATTTTTTATTTTTGGATTTTTTTTTGTAATGTATATAGTCTTCTATTCTTAGTTTCTTACTCAATGTCGTGTGTCTGATAATTCTATAGAGTATCCTTACATTTTGAAATGATATTTGGTCATGTATTGTTATAATACAATGAGACGATAAAATTTGAACTCGCGATCTTAAAATCTAACAACGAGGATAATGATCATTAAATTAGCCACTGACCTCTAAAATGATATTTATTTTTACATGTTCTTTATATTAGGAGTAACTCGTGTCTAAAAATACGGTACAATGTAAGTGAGAAGTAATGAATCTGAGATAAGGGAGAATTCAATATGAATAGTTTTGAGATGAGTATTGATAGTCGTTAAATGAATCTATTTGAGAATATGAAATAGACTTATTGAAATTTACCTTTTTTTTATATTATAGATAACAAAACACACCTCTACATTATTACAATGATAAAAAAATATTTTCTAAACCAAAAATCTCTTCCATATTTAATGGAATTGCATTAGCAAAACTACTTTAAGGATTTGGTACACATTCTTGCAAGAAAGCGATAGGAAGAAACTCATCTTCACAAGTTGTCATTAAAAGGCACAAATGATAGTTTCCTTTGTCTATTTTGTACAACCTCTCTAAAAGTTGATCATGTTTAGAGAGTAGGATGAAAATTCCTTTTAAAGTCTTCGGGCGTGCAGAACGCCTTGGTGCTCGATTATAATTCTTGTACTGCTCCCTCACGTCCCCCACCTCTTCCCCTCTTTAATCTCAATTTATCTTTAGCAGGAAAAATAAATT